GACCAACAGATAAGCTGGGGCCTAAAGAAATTGTGATAATTAAATATGGTCTTTGAGATGAATGTGCTTTTGCACAGTTGGTGACATAACAAATCATCTGTTGCTGTAGGACAAAGGAAGAAATTTTTATCTTAAAATTTATAAATTTTATATTAGCCTTTTTTTGTGTCACAGATAGCTCCATTTTTACAAACTGATCTTTGTGAAAATGAAAACCTGCTTGCCTGTATTTAGTTTGAAGCAATATTTGGAGTTTTTTGATGTTACTGTTTTGCATTCTGTTTTTACTTAATGACAACCTAAGATCCTGTCCTTTAATGTTTAAACTCAGGCTGAGAATGAAACATGCCATTCAGAAAGAATGCTATCATCTGAATTGTATTTTTGTGTTGTCTTGGGGAATAGATGGTCAGAGACCAGTTAAATACGTTTTAGAACTTTAAGAGATCATCTTGTCTCTGTTTCCCATTTTATTGATAAGACTAGTAAGGCCCCAGAAGAGTAAAAGCCTGCACGATCAGTGAAGGGCAGAGCCACCCCCAGCGTCAGCCCAGCTCCGTGGATGCAAAGCTCACACGTGTGCTGCTGCACAGTGACTCTGAATTCAGTGAAACTATTTTCTAAGTTTTTTAAGGAAAATTTTCTAAGGATAATTGGGAAACATGGGTTTTCTGATAAGTTGCAATGGCTTCTTTTAATATCTGGTTTTCTAATTTGAAAACAAAAGTTTACACCGACACTCTTTAACATAAAAACAGATGGAGTCTAGCAGGTTCCTGATAGTTAGTGTTCACGACCTTCCGTGTCTTCGTTGTTCTCGGTGACTGTGCCAGCAGGTGTGCACGCTCGTGTAAGAGTGACCTTCTCTGTTACAGTGTCTGCAGTGAAGCATTGAGTTACTTCCTTACTCTAACGTCAGAGAGTCACCGGGAGGCTTGGACTAACTTACTGCTGTTGTTTCTAACTAAAGTTCTAAAGATAAGCGATAACAGGGTAAGTCGGGGACGCCCATCGTATCCAGCCTAGCGTTTCTAGCCTGGCCAGCGCTGTGCCACGTGGGAGGTGGGGGTGCCAGGCCACTCCCTGCCGGACTCTTGTCTCATTGGCCCTCAGCTTTCCCCTCCTCACCCCGCTCTATCTCTTACTGGTGATTCTGTGGAGGGTTCAGCTGGGGAGGAATTGGAATCCTGTAGGGCACCTTGACAAGCTCCTGGGTACCGCCCAGATTGCAATTCCTGTTTTGACACCTGAAAATCTCCCCTTCCACCCGTGTGGGACTGCTGTCCGTCTAGCCCCCTGCCTCATGCTCCGCCTCTCCCCGAGGCACAGGCCTCAGCCAGTCCTCTGGCCTTTTTACTGGTTCCATGTGACCCTGAGCCCCAAGTGAGTGGGCTACAAACTCATTTAGGAATTTTAAAACAGTAGAAATAAAAATAAATATATAGCTGTAAATATAAATACGTATTTAAGGTTTTCAAGAATACATAGTTCACTCTTTAAAAAAATATAGCATCTACGGCCATGCTACCCTGAACAAGCCTGATCCCATCTGATTTCAGAAGCAAAGCAGGGTTGGCCCTTGGTTAGTACTTGGATGGGAGACCGCCTAGGAAGACCAGATGCTGTAGGCGTAAAAAATAAAAAAATAAGGGATTGTGAGTTGACAAGGTCCTTGCTTGCAATCTGTGAGGTCAACCAAGGGTTGCCTCGCCTAAATAAGTAAAAATATAGCAATGTAGAGCTCACTTGAAACGGGTTGCTGTGCTCCCTGAACAGGTTTAAAAATGCCTCGTCAGGCAGCCTGACATTTGCCACTTTGGACCATGGTGGTGCACGGGACCCAGAGAGGCCACCTGATGCTGCCTGGTGCTGTACGGTTGTTCCTCCCAGGCCATGTGGTCTGGGTCCACGTGCACGTCCCTTTGACTCTTGGGCCCGGTAAAGCCAGGAGAAGTGATCTAAGTGGACAGGAAGGACGCGAAACCCCAGTCTGTCTCACTCGACAGTTTGCTTTCTTGCCACAGTGTGTCATGCTGCTTCCTTATACCCTGGGTGCAGAGGCAAACAGAAAACAAGACAGGCAAGTAGTTCAGAGATTAAAGAACTACAGCAAAGATAAAGTCAAAGCACATCGATTCAGCTGTAAATACGGAATGTGTAATCTGTGCCTGGAAACTGTATAGTTTGTATTGCAATGTTAGGTAGAATTTCCGCTGAAAATTAAAACTTTATTAAAGATCGTTTCAGTAACCCCTTACATAGCTTATCAAAACGCAGCTGTGGTTCTCGCTTGTATTACCACCTGGGAAGAACAGTGATAAATACTAGAAGTTTGTCATAAGTGTCTCAGCCTTTCAGTTCCATAATCAGTGCAGCCACTGCTCCATGCAGTCACCTTCCAGTCAGTGATCAGTGCTCACCCCGCAAGGCAGTTTTAGGTTTTGTGGTTTGGAATGCAAGCACTACTAACAAATTCATTTTTCCTCCCAGTTTAAAGCTCATGCATCCTTCTACTATCCTCTCTTATGTGAAATTATGCAATTTGACTTGATTCCTGAACTTCGTGCTGTTCTTAGAAGATTTTTTCTGCGAATCGGAGTCGTTTTTCAGATATCAAAACCGCCTGAACAGGAACTCGGAATAAACAAGCAATGATGAGAACTTAGTATTTTTCTGTTGGCGTTTACATCACTCCGCTCTTTAAAAGGACCCTGGAGCTGAGGTTTCCTACCTGAAAAATTGTTTCTCTGAACTGCAGTGTCGAAAGGTTACTGGTAAAGATGCTTAGAACTAGAACTCACACTTGCAACGCTCCAGGCCCTTTCAGTAATTGATGGATCCCGTTTGTCCGCCATGCTGGGCCACGTCGAGCAGAAAGCTCATTTCCGATGTCAGCTGATGCTCACGTGTCCTTCCCTGTCCTCAGCGGCAGGGAGAGCCCCACATATTTTTGGCAACTGTGGAAGTGAAACTTACCCAAAGAACTATAGATGTAAAGATTTGAACTTCTGCAAGAAGTACAACTCAGGAGAGCTGTATTTTGAAGGATAAAATGTTTATAATTGGGGAGTGGGGGAAAAAGAAATTATTGTTCATGGCAAAAGATATTTAGCAACTATGGTATTCTTATTCTGAAGATTTTTGCACACTCAGGCTATCTGAGATACTGGTAATCATCCTTCTGTGAAAATGTACAGAGATGCAGGTCTGTAATATAAAAATCTTAAACATTATATAGTTCTTCCTGCACTGTTTTATTTTATTTCTTTATTTTCTTATTCATTTGCTAAATATCTATAATATTTTGTCAAATGCACTAAACATTTGGGTTAACTTTGTCTTTTTTATTTTGTGGGGATTTTGTTTTTGCCCTTTTGGGGTGGGGGTGGTAATTTTGAAGGTTTAAACACGCCCAGAAGCTGTTGTGGCTGACGCTTGTCATGATCAACAACAAAAAAAAGGGTAGAAAATATCCCTACTGACATAACTACCTGTAACATACTTCTCTTAGGGCTTTTAAACATGAGCCATTAAAATAGAATGACCCTTCACGGACCGAAACTTGAATCACTGCAAAATGAATCTAGGTTGCTGTCACTTTCTTTTCTTTTTGGTGGCGGGGCTTGATGTAGATTTTACTCTATGTACAGAATTTAATGTTGAATATATTAAAATAACAAATCTGGCATGGTTTGGGGACGTTAGATTTACTGGAAATGTATTCATACTGTGAATTGTGCTCTGATGGTTAGAAAACAACATGACAAGATTGTCAAGCATTCCGTATTAACAGTGGGTGTAGAAAATTTTTTCAGATGGATAAAATGTATATGGTACAGATGTAAAGTTTTCTATGTAAAAAATTCTGTACAACTTTCTGTACAATATTGATTCTCATCTGGCATATTCTAATCAGGTTATAGGTCAATAAAGTTTTTGGATTATTTCATCAGTGCAATCAAAACCTGTTATACACAGCCCCATGTTTCATTGATTCTTTTTTCATTAAAAGCCAGACAAACAACTGAGGAAGGATATTTTCAGCCAGAACAACAGGTTCAGTATTCTTTAGTTCTGATACTTTCTTTTCAGTTTCTGGCATTAGATTCTCCCCCATGCCCTGCTTTCTTGACCATACAGTATTCATAATATTTGTGTATTAATAACCCAGAATAAGGCTACACTCTTTGAATAGTGAGTAAACACTGAAGTTCCCTTTGGGGCAGTTGGCAGTAGGGTGCTGTGTATCCCAGGAGTCAGTTCAGGCTGTGTGATATGGTGGCACTTGAAAGAGTAAATGGACATGTTAAGATAATTTATTTTGAAGGTTGTGTTAAACGGGATAAGTGTTCGGTCTTTGCTCTCACACCTCTTAGATAAAGAGCAGTTACTGAACGATGCATTCGTGTGTCTGCCATATTTATTGCCCTCAAGACACAGCCCCCTGTTCAAGACCAGCTGATACCGTAGCTGGAGCCACCGTAACCGTCGGTCTGTCTGAGGTAAGTGTTTCAAATAACTTGGTGGTTGATTTTACGGTGTAGTGTCAGGACTCACCAGAGGCCTTCATCTTACTTTCAGATGAAGATATAAGAAAAATCTTTACAGTAAAATAATGGTTACATTACAAAATCGAATGTAAAATTTACATGTCACTAAAATTCAAAGTATCAGAAATTTCACACCTGAGGTGAACTTTTCTGGTCTCGTCTGCCATTAATTTTATCAGTGGAAGCATGCGAGAAGCGGTTCCTGGGGTGTTCTCATCTTTCTTGGTGCTAAAGGCACTGAATAAGAATTATTTCCCAGAATTAATTTTTCCTTTTTTAAAGGTACCTCTTATGGAGTGATTAGAAAGACTGACTGACTCACTCGAGAGGTCACGGAGGCGCAGCAAGGATTCCAGTCCCTGTCTTTGACCCTGGGTGTTCCTGCCTCTCTTCAACTTCTAGAACACCTTATCTGGAAACCTCAATTCCAGTTAAAACAGGAAATCGACATTGGTAATAAAAATAATTTATTTCTATCAAGAAGTAGTTAAATCATATAAATTAGTAAACTTAATGCATGCCTTCATTGGCACAAAGAGGCAGAAAAATGTAACGTCGTGAGTTCCCATGGCTCATGGGAACAAAACCAATTACGATGATTCCCATCATTTATACTGAATCAGTAGCTGTAAATGACTTGGAAATAACTAGTACATTTGATTCATTACATCGCAACTGGAATGTTCACAGCTACAACAAGTATTTACTAGTGAATTATTTTGAACAGCAGAAACAATAGCAAATATATATATAATGGTTTCTGATTTTGCAGCACTGTTAAAGACACTTGTGCTTTATTCACCTTATCTTACAAGCAGAATTTATAATAATGCACATATGGTAGTTGATTCCAAGACTTCATCACCACCCTAAGTTATGGCAAAATTGTGCAAAAATAATTCTATAAAATCCTATATTATAAATTAATAATCATGTCCTTTTATTTATGTACATAATATACATTATATACATCATCGTGGAAAAAATACACCTATTCGCAGATGGAACGTTAGTAACTTCCGGGTAGGGAACAAAGGAGCACATGTTATTAAAGGTTCAGATTTAACATTCCTTTTACCTTCAAGGCACTGCTGGGTCCAGCCCAGGTTTATTAACCATGCGCGGTGGACAGGCCCTGCCAGCTGAAAGGGCCAGGTTTCCCAGGCCCCCGCGGCTGCTCCTGCTTCAGCTGCTCGGCCACGAACTGTTTCAGCGTTTCCGAGGTGCCCGGGCGGAGCCAGGGTTCAGTTGCTACAGAGTTTGATCTGTCGTCACCCACATGCTTCATGATGTCATCAGGGTCAACCAGTGAACTCTCGTCGTCTAAAGGAGGCGAGAGAGACATGACTCAGGTGGGTGGCAGGCAGGTGACCTGTCATCTCACCCACCACATCTCTGCGTTTCTCCATAACACTATGTTCTAAGCTGGGCTGTTTTGTCCAACTTCGTTTTAGAGGCAGGAAAGCAAACCCAGGAAGGGAGCCAACTTTATGAAACAAAAAAATGGTCAGCTGGAGGAGGCTGTAGTGTGCCAGCACCACGGGAGCCCTGGGCACCGTGGAGACAGTGGCACCCGGCAGCAGGCTGCCCGCAGGCGCATAAGCCGTCTCGTGTCACCTTCGGGAGAAACTCAATAGCTGCCATGTAAAATTTTTGTTTTGAACAAACTATAACAATGCCACGAGGAAACTGTCAATTATGAAAGCACTAGATGAGATGAAATTACATCCATTCTTACTAAGAGGCTGTTTACTCCATTAAGGGGTATCTTGTATGTAGTCTGTTTCATTCTTTAATTGAATTGACTGTACCTAACTTCTATATCAGTATTTTACTTATTATTAGATGTAATAATAGGAAAATCTGTCTTCCTACCCTGTGATGTCAATTTCTTTTTTTTGTTAAATTACATCTCTTGGTCTGTGAAGGATTAGCCCGGCAAAGGGACCTGTGCAATCAATTTAATAAGCAGTCAATCCACATTGTACCCAAAAGCTCCTGTTTGAAAGGACAGTGTTAAAACAAAGTTTAGAAGTTAAAAAGCTACTGAAAAATATTCTTAAAATGCTCTATGTTCTTTCAATTCAATATATCCCTGTTAAATATTAATTCAACTTACTGGTTCTAAAAGAAAATAAGAGGTAATAACTTCACAATACAGATGAAAAGAAAATGCTTTTTAGCTAAAAAGAAAGCACTGCTCTCCCATGTTCCGCGTTTTTCCAGGTATGATATGAAAAGAACTGCTCCATCAATTTACCGTGTTTGCTGGTATTTGATATGGAATTACCACCAGGACACATGACACCTCGACTGCTAGAGATTGTATGCATACAGTTTTAACAATAATAAAGGTAAGATCAAAAAAATAGCTTAAGAAAATTCTTATTAGAAAATTATTGTAATGTAGCTTCCCAAACTAAAGAGAATTTTCCAAAACGACCACTCTGCTATTTGCTAAAACTAATAACACAATAGGACTTAGGTACTATAAGATTGTCCCATTATCCTAATAACTAATCAATATCCACATTAAAAAGGTCCAGGGCTGGCAGAAGAGCTCGCTGGTTGCCTAAGGAACCATCTTGCCTGCCTGTGCTCGACAAATAGGCCCTACTTAACGCAGTGTGACAGTGGAGCCCAACATAAAAGACTAAACTTTGGCTTATAAAAAGGAAATACAAATCTGAGGCTATTTTGCTATGTCTACGGTACAGAAAGCCAAGTAAAAAGGTAAAATTTTCTTTTTACTACAAATTTATAATATACGTTAGTCTAAACTTAAAGTTTTAATTTCTGATAATCTCTCACTTCAGTAAGAGAAGTGTGACACTGAGCATTTTCCCTGCTGAAAGCAAAGCCTGGATATAATTATAAGCAAAAACTTTATCTATTTAGAATCCACTCAAAAAAGGGTACCCTCTGGTTCAAAGAATCTGTTGCAAAATTGATCCTGACTCTGGTTTGTTGGGTAGCTACTGTGTTCCAGGCCCTACATACAACTCGAAGGATTTCAAACTTCATTCCATCTATCCCGCAGCCATTAGTGAGAGCTTCCATGTGAAGGAGGTTAAGAGTTCTTAGAGAATTTGCTATAGTCCACTGAACTTGGCCATTTACCTGTATTAATAGGTTTACTCTGAAGTTCATTCAGTCTTCGCATTCGTTCCTCATTTCTCATTCTAATCTGATCGGTATTTATACTGGATACAGATTTTAACGAGAGACCATCTGGCGGAGCATTCGGACGACTGCTGTCCTGTAGTTAGAAAACAACTTCAGAATGACCATAGAATAGGTTCAGAATACAGCACTGAACCAAACTTGCCCTCGATAAATGTACAGTGATGAGGGAAATAAATGAAAACTTATAGCATTCACATTCTAACCCCTAGTGCTTGTCCACGCAGGCTCAGATGAAGGCACTGTATTTGTAATAACATAAATGATGCCAGACTGGAGAAAGGTCTGGCAGTTCCTCAAAATGCTACACAAAGTTAGCATATAACCCAACAATTCTGCCTCCAGACAATAAACGCGAGAGGAAAACATCAAAACACTTGTACGTGAATGTTAAAAGCAGCACTTTTCATAAGACGAAGTAGAAACCACCCAGATGTCCCAGTATTGAATGGATAAACAAAAGTGGAATATTATTGAGCAATAAAAAGGAATCAAGTACTGACGTTATAATTTTGTGACCTTTCAAAAAAACGAAGCCAAAAATGACCATATATTTTATGATCTCGTTTATATGAGAAAAGCCAAACCTATAGAGACAAAGTTAGGTTAGTGTTGCTGGGGAGCCACCTGGTAAAGCTGTACGTATAATACAGCTCTTTGTGGAGAGCTCCCTCCATACTTGACTCAGCGCTAAATGCTCCACATACAACTATCTCCACATCATATATAAGGAAACAGTTTACGAAGCTGCCCAAAGTTGCTACCCGACAAAGTAGTGACATTGTCAGGACATAGAGTAAGGGCTCCAAGGCCTGCACATTTTATTGGCTATACTATGAAATCATTTAAACATGTTCTGTGAAAAGGACATAAGTTTGAACAGCAACCTTCTTGTCTACATGACTCTGGGCAAGTTATAAGACCAAAACGGAGATGTCTAAATAATAGGCTTAGGTGACTATGAGGACGTAGCAGGCTTTCCAGTAAGTGGTATCAGTTGCTTCTTGTGCCTTCTCTGAAATCCATGTATTCTTCTGCAGGGGGAAAGAGGGAGGTTAGCGAGAGGAACTAAGATTTACGGAGCAGAGATTCTGTACCAGGCACTAGTCTTACACTTACCGCCACCCTACGAGACAGGAAAATATTACTTCAAAGAAGCCAAGGCACTGAGTTCAGTGAGCTGCCCCAGCTCTCTGGTGCTAGAGCCAAGATTCAGACCCATGTCTACCTCACTCTAAAGCAAGTGCTCCTTACTGGACCACAACAACTTAGCATGGTGAGAACCCAGACCTCACTCCTAATCTGAAAAGGAAAAAGAGAAAACACTGCATACGTACAAAGTCCAGCCCTTTCAGTTTGTCCCTCCTGCGCTCCCTTGCAGAGGGCAGCTGTGACGGCGGGAGCGGGGCGTCCTCTTCCAAGGCGGGATACGTCTCACCATAAGCACCTGGAAGGAACACACAAGGGGGAAGGCTTAGACGTCCCCCACTTTAAATCTTTTCACTCAGCTAAACCAAGACTTGGCTTTTTATTAAGATGGTGTTTACATACAGTTAAAGTAGAACAGTGATAAAAATGGAAATACATTACCATTCTGTCTTTTCATACACTTGTTTCCGATCAGAAATAGTAGTGGCAAAATTTAAGGTTCCGAGTTCAGTGATGTATAGACTTGTGCAATCATCACTATTATCTAGTTTTAGAACATTTCTCTCTCAAAATGCTGCCTCGTGCTCACCAGCAGTCACTCCCCAGTCCCACCTGCCCAGCCCAGTGGAAACAGTGAGCTGCTTTCATTCCCAAAGGATTTACTGAGATCCCTTGTAAATGGAACGATAGTTTCACATACTGTCTTCCACTTAGCATGATTCTGAGGTTCATCTGTTGTACCATACATCAGTTTATAACATACATACAATCACATCTTCTTTATCCATTCATCCATCAAGAGACAATTTGTTTCCATACCTTGACTGTTGTAAAGAATGCTGCAGTGGACATGGGGTACATATCTTTCTCGATTGTTTTCATATCTTTGAAAAATACCTAGAAGAGGGACTGCTGGATCATATGGTAATTCTATTCTTAATTTTTGAAGGAACCTCCATGTTTTCCATAGTTGCTACACCAATTTACATTCCCACCAACAGTATATAAGGGCTGCCTTTTTCCCACATCCTGTCCAACACTTATTTCGTTTTCTTTTTTTCATATAGGCATTCTAATAGGTGTGAGGTAATATCTTATTTTGATTTGCATTTCCTAATAATTACTGATGTTGAACATCTATTCAAATGCCTGCTGGCCATCTGTATGTCTTGGAAAAATGTCTATTCAGATCCTCTGCGCATTTTTTAATCAGATTGTTTGCTTTTCAGTTGAGTTGTATCAGTTCTTTATATATTTTTAATATTAACTCTGTATTAGAAGTATCATTTGCAAATATTTTCTCATTCACTTGGCTGCTTTTTTGTTTTGATGATGGATCTTTCAATGTGCAGAATTTTTAGGTTGATGTAGTTTCACTTACTTTTGCTTTCGTTTTTCTTGCACTTGGAGTCAGATTCACAAAAACATCACTGAGACCAATGTCTGGAAGCTTAGTGCCCATGTTTGCCTTTATGGATTTTACTGTTTCAGGTCTTGCATTGGTCTTTAATTCATTCTGCGTTAATGTTTGTGTATGGTATCAGATGGTCCAGTTTCACTTCTTTGCATGCAGCTTTCCAATTTTCCCAGCAGCACTTACTTGAGACTGCAGATTCTTAGCTCTTTTGCTGTGAATTAATCACCCATGTATGTGCAGGTTTACTCTGTTCAACTGGTCTGTTTTTCTGCCAATACCATACTGTTCTGATTACTATAGCTTTATAGTATAATTTAAAATCAAGGAGTGTATTATCTCCAGCTCCGTTCTTTTTTTTCTTCTCATGATTGCTTTGGCAATTCGGAATATTTTATGGTTGCATTCAAACATTAGGATTATTCTATTTCTGTGAACAATGCCATTTGAATTTTGATAGGGATTGCGCTGAATATGTAGATTGTTAAACAGTGTCCACACTGCCTAAAGCAATGTTATTTCTTTCAGTATATGAACAAAGAATAGCATTCCTTTTTTTTTTTTTGGCGTAGTCTTCAATTTCTTTCAACAATGTTTTTTAGTTTTCAGTGTACAGGTCTTTCACCTCCTTGGTTAAATTTATTCCTTGGCATTTTATTCTTTTTGTTGAGGTTATAAATGGGACTGTTTTCTTCATTTCTCTTTCCAGTAGTTCATTGTTATAGTATGTAGAAACAACAGACTTTTGAATGTTGTTTTTCTATTCTGCAACTTAACTATATTATTATTTCTTTTAGTTTTTTAATGGAGTCTTTAGGGTGTTCTATATATACAATCATGTTACCCACAATATCGACAGTTTTACTTTTTCCTTCTATACTCATCTTGACGGCTTTAATCATAAATGGATGTTGTATCTTGTCAAATGTTTTTTCTGTATCTGTTGATACAATCATATGATTTTCATTCCTCGGGTAACGCCACGTTAACAAAAGGAGGAATAAAAATCATGATCGTATTACACTGATTGATATGCGATGTTAAACCATCCTTCTATCCCTGAAATGAATCCCACTCCATCGTGGTGTATGGTCCTTTAACGTGTTGGACTTGATTTGCTAGTATTTTGCTGAGGATCTCTGCATGTGTGTTCATCAGAGATATTGCCCTGTACTTTTCTTTGTGTGTTGTCCTTGCCTAGTTTTGGTATCAGAGTGATGTTCTCTTGTGAAATGCATTTTCTCCTCAATTTTTTGGAAGAGTTTCAGAAAGACAGGTATTAAATCTTCTTTGAATGCTTAGTAGAATTCATGAGTAAATCTATCTAGTCCTGGACTTCTGTTTCTGGGAGGTTTTTGATTACCATTTCAATTTTTTTACTAGTGATTAGTGTGTGTTCAGGTTTTCTAATTCTTCATGTTTCAGTCTGGGATGTTTGTATTCCTCAAAGAATTTGTCAATTTCTTCTAGGTTATCCAGAGTTTTCTTTTATAGTCCTTTGTATTTGTGCTCTCCATTATAACTCGTCTTTCATTTCTGATTGAGTCTTTTTTCCTGAGTCTAGCTAAAGGTTTGTCAATTTTGTTTATCTTTTCAAAGAACAAGGTCTTCATTTTACTAATGCTTTATTTCCATTTTAATTTTTATTATCTCCTTCCTTCTATTGACTTTGGCCTTCATCTCTTCTGTTTTCTCTAGTTCTTTAAGCTGCAGTGTTAGATTGTTTGAGATTGTTCTTGTTTCTTAAGGTAGGACTGTGTTGCTATAAACTTCCCTCTTTGTACAACTTTTGCTGCATCCTCAAAATTCTGTTACGTCTTTTTTTTTTTATTTGTCTCTTCTATGTAACTTTTGATTTTTTTCTTTTCTTTCTTTACTGACCCAAGAGTTGTTCAGTAGCATGTTGTTTAATCTCCACATATTTGTGATTTCTCCAGCTTGCTTCTTACTGACTGGTAGTTTCATAGCATTGTGGTATGGGTGGAGGGTGGAGGGGTCAGGTGTGGGGGAGCCCGGTTCGCAGCCTGCCACGCTGCTACCTGGTTCCCTATGGCAGCTGGTGCTGCTATCTTGTAGCCAGGAGGCCGTAGACACATCTCTGCTGCTGCTCTTGGGCTCCAGTGCAATCCGGGGAGAGGGAAGGCATTCTCAGGCACCAAAGCTGCTTCTGCCCCTTTTTCTTGCTTTCTTGCATGAGCTAAGACTTCTGTATCAATGCTGAGAAGCAGTGAGAAGGACATCTTCGTTTTGTTCTTGATCTTAGCAGGAAAGTTCCTGGTTTCTCATCATTAAATATGATGTTAGCTGGAGGTTTTTTACAGATGTTCTCTATCAAGTTGAAGTCGCCCTAGTATTCCTAGTTTGCTGAGTGTTATGAATGGGCTGTGAATTTTATTCAAAGCCTTTCTGCATCTACTGATAATGACCATGTAGTTTTTCCTTAGACTACTGATGCAATAGATTATACTTGGATGAATTATATTAATTGAATGTAAACTAGCCTTGCATAACTCGTATAAATCTTTGGTCATGATATATAATTTTTTGGATTCAATTTGCTAATATTTTGAGATTTTTTTTTACATTTATATCCATGAGATATTGGTCTGTAGTTTTTTTTGTGATGTTTTTGTCTGGTTTTGTAACTAACATAGAATTAGAAGTATCTATGTTCTGCAAGAGGTTGCAGAAAATTAGTATAATTCTTCCCTTTTAAATGTTCTGTAGAATTCACCATTGAACTCAATTTCCTTTTTTATAGTTATCATAGTCAATTTAGTTTTTTTATATTGAGATACATTTGACATATAATACTATTTAAGCTTAAGGTGTACAATGCGATAATCTGATGGGACATGTTGCGAAATGTTTAACACAATAAGATTATTTAACACATCCTCACGTCACATGTGGCTGTTAATGGTGAGGACATTAAACCTCTACTCTCGCAGCAACTTTCAAGTATAAAATACAGTATTATTAACTATAGTCACATGCTGTATATTAGACGCCTGGAACTTATTTATCTTATAACTGAAAGTTCTTACCTTTTGACCAACATTTTCTCACTTCTCTCACCTCTTAAATTTTTTCGATTTCTTTGATATAGGCCTATTCAAATTGTATTTCTTCTTGTGTGACTTCACAAGATTCTAACTTTCAAGAACTGGTCCACTGAAACTGCCAGCCTCACCTGCCGTCACTAGAATAGTGGAAGCATGGTTGTGACAAAGGGATATTTGTGGTGACCATTAATCAAGAGGATGGAGTGCTGCACCTCTGGTCTAGTATAAGGTCTGGCATAGTGACATGTTCCCAGACACGTCTTGAGTGCTGCACACTTTCCTCACCGTCAGCAGTAATGGGTCACCTTTCCCTGACACCTTCTTGGATGAGCTATTTCCTGGTGGTTTCACTATCTTTATTCAGTCTCCAACAATATGACTTCCTTGGAAAGGGAAAACTGTAAAACATCTAAATATAGGCTAGTTTAGAATTTTTATCACATGAAAATATAAAGTAATTGGCATGAAAAACTAATATGGCCCTAGGATAGCAGAAATGCTTATGATCAGAATACATGATTATAAGTGTATATTGTAGTACTTAAGGAAAAAGGTCCCATGGTACCTTCAGTGTCTTCTGAAGACTAATGTGACTTTTTAAAATTGAAATATTAAGATTAATTGCAGACGCAACACTGTCTTAATAATAAAGAACTCTTGTACACTTGACAAATTCCTCCCAATGGTAACATTTTGCAAAACAAAAGCAAGTCTCACACCAGGGCTCTTGATACTAATACAATGCACTAAGTCTTTTTTGATGTGCCTTGTAGTAAAGTAGTCCGTGGTATCGCTGTACTAAAGCTGGGTTATCTACTCACCTGTTGGACATCTGGGCTGATTCCAGTTGTTGGCTATTAGAAGTAAAGCTATGAAAATTCATGTACAGATTTCTGTGTGAACCACTCCGAGGACTTCTTTGTTACAGCTGACATACAATAAACATTAGTTTCAGGTGCACGCATGGTGATTAGACATTTATACACCTTATGAAATGGTCACTCTGTTAAGTCCAGTACCATACAACACCATACGTTTATTACAGTATCAACCATAATCCCTGTGACTTTCTTATAACTGCCAATTTGTATTTCTTAATCTCTTCACCTTTTTCATCCGTCCCTCCAAACCCCTCCCCTCTGGCAACCAACAATTTGTTCTCTGTATCTATGGGTTTGTTTCTGTTGTTTAGATTCCACATATAAGTGAAATCATAAGGTATTTGTCTTTATCGTACTAATTTCATTAGCATAATACCCTCTAGGTTCATCCATGTTGTCACAAATGGCAAGATTTCATTCTTTTTATGGTGTAATATTCCACTGGAGTAAGATTCCGTTGTATATATGCATTGCATCTTCTTTATCCATTCACCTATTGATGGGCACTTAGGTTGCTTCCCTATCTTGACTATTGTACATAATGTTGCAATAAACATATATCCTTTTGAATTAGCTTTGGATTTCTTTAGATCCACAGAAGTGGTATTGCAGGATCATAGGGCAGTTCTTTTTAATTTCTCGAGGAACCTCCATACTGGTTTTCACAGTGGCTACACATTTACAATCCCACCAGTAGTGCGCAACAGTCCCCTTTTCTCCACATCCTTGTCAATACTTGATCGTTGATTTACTGAGGAGAGCCATTCCGACAGGTGGTATCTCACTGCGGTTGCAATTTGCATGCCCCTGAAGATTAGCGATGCTGAGTACATTTTAATTAGTGTGTTGCCATCTTTTTGTCCTCTTTGGAGAAATGTCTATTCCAGTCCTCTGCCCATTTTTGGATAGGACTGTTTGGGGCCTTTTGGTGTTAAGTTGTATGAGTTCCTTATATATTTTTTGACATTAATACCTTCTTGGATGTATCACTGATCAATGTCTTCTATCATTCAATAGGTTGTCTTTATGTTTCATTGATGGTTTCCTTCATTATGTAGAAACTTTTTAGTCTGACATAGTTCCATTTGTTTTTCTTTTGTTTCCCTTGCCCAAGGAGACACATCCGAGAGTTTACTGTTTTCATCTAGGAGTTTTATGGTTTTAGGTAAGTCTTTAATCCATTTTGAGTTTATTCTTGTATATGGTGTAAGAAAGTAACCCAGCTTCATTCTTTTGCATTTATCTGTCTAGTTCTCCCAAAATCATTTACTGAAGAAACTGTCTTTAACCCCATTGTATATTACCCTTGCTTCCTTTGTCATAAATTGACCATATAGGAATGGGTTTATTTCTGGGCTTTCTGTTCTGTTCCATCGATCTATGTGCCTGTTTTTATACCAGTACCACGTTGTTTTGATGATGATAGCCTGATCGTATAGTTTGGTATCAGCTAGTGTAATACCTCCAACCTTGTTCTTTCTCAAGATTGCTTTGGCTATCTGGGGTCTTTTGTGGTTCCACATAATTTTTAAGAGCATTTGTTCTAGTTCTCGGCTTTTGTTTTATGGTAGTTTTGATTTCATTGGCAGTTGCCGGTCTGTTCAGATTTTGTTTCTTCCTGACTCAGCCTTATAAGATTGTATGTTTATAGGAATTTAACCATTTTTTTCCAGATAGTCCAATTTGTTGGCATATAACTGTCCATAGTATGTCTTTATAATCCTGTGGTATCAGTTGTCACTTGTTCTTTTCTGATTTACATGAGCCCTGTCTTGTTCTCGATGAGTCTGGCTAAATGTTTATCAAAATTTTATCTTTTCAAAGAACCTGCTCTTTGTTTTGTCTTTTCTTTGAGACTACTTTAGTTCCACTCTGATCTTGTGTTCTGACATGTGGGCTATCCTGGAAAATGTTCCATGTGCACTTGAAAAGAATGCATATTCTGCTTTTGTGTGAAATGTCCTAAAAATAGCAATTAAGTCCATCTAATCTAATGTGTCATTTAAGGCCACTGTTTACTCGTTTTCTTTCTGGATGATCAATTTATCAATTAATGTCAATGGTGTGTTTATGTCCCCTAATATGACTACTACTGTCGCTCTCTCCTTTATGTCCATCAATATTTGCTTTATATACATATGTTCTACTACACTAGGTTTGTAGATATTTACGAGAGTAATTATCATCTTGTTGGATTGATCCTTTTATCGTTATGAAATGTCTTTCTCTGTCTCGTTACAGACTTTGTTTTAAAGTTTATTTTGTCTGATATAAGTATTGCTAGTCCAGCTTTCTTTTCCAACTCCATCTGCACAAAATTTGTTTCCATCCCTTTCAGTCAGTTTCTTTTGACCTGAAGTGAGTCTCTTATAGGCAGCATATATATGACTTTTTTATCCATTCAGCTGCCCTGTCTTATTGATTGGAGCATTTCGTCTACTTACATATAAAGTATACTTGTTGACAGGTATGTAGTTATTGCCATTTTGTTGTCTTCTGATTGTTTTTGTAGTTCTCTGTTCCTCATTCTCCCGCTCTCACACTGATGCCTTTCTACATTGTTGTGTTTGGATTCCTTTCTCTTTTCCTTCTACGTTTCTTGTAGGTTTTGAGTTTGCTGTTACCATGTGATTCATTTGTACCAACCTATGCTTACAGCAGTCTCTTTTAAGTTGATGGTTGCTAAGTTTGAACACATTCTA